TTAGGCATCTGTTTCCCGCAGATCTCATTGATGATATAGTGCACAACACCAACTTGTATGCTCTCCAGAAAGGGAGAGAAAATCTGGCTGTGACAAGAGAAGAAATGCAGATTGTTTTTTTAGGGATTAACATGGTCCACTCTCCCGGTTGGGGGCAAGTTGCTCCCTCAAGTGGAGGAGTTTAAGTATCTCAGGGTCTTGTTCTGAGTGAGAGAAAAATGGAGTGGCAGGTTGACAGACGGAACGGTGCGGCGTCCACAGTAATGCGGTCTCTGTACTGGTCCGTTGTGGTGAAGAAGGAGCTGAGTTGTAAAACGAAGCTCTCAATTTACTGGTCGATCTACCTGCACGCACCCGAAAGACCAAATACATCTGCATGCAATGCTGTGTGCCACTGTGCCCTGGATGCTTTGCCAACTTTCATACAGCCTAGATTTGATGAACTGACATGCACAGCATATTACAGAGGTTTTTATTAAAAAGAAGTGTTCAGAGACGCAGAGACTAATATGCCAGTTCTTGTTGCAGTAGTATGATATTACCAGTCCTGCATCCATAAAGAAGTGAGGGCACTCAGAATAATGTTCTTCTTGTTGGAGATATTTTGAAACATAGACTTAGCTTATGTATAAGCTTCACAGTTGTGAACGTCATTTGCTTTCCTATTCAGGCCTAAACAATAGGTCAATGAAATGTTAAAATGTGAAAATATGTCAAAATGTAATATAATATAAATATTATTGTTCATGATTTGCCATAAGACACATTTTAATAAATTTTTACATTAAGTTCACACTGTTTTATGTTGAGTGTTCAGGCACATGTAGTCCACAGGAGTGGACATGTGTGTAAGTCGCTGAAAAAAAAATCACATTTTGGAAACAAGGTGAATATTTGTTTTTCTTTTCATGCCCTAGTAAGAATAAAAATACTAAAGAAACATGTTTTGACTCAGGCTTTCATAATTCATGCATCAGAGGGTTTTAAGGTTGCTAAATTTTACGGCTGGTGTGTTGAAGTCTGTTTCCCCATGGAGACGTCTCTTGTCTTCAGCTTGCCAAGTCAAAAAAAAAGAGCCAAAGCCACTGTTAATAAAGTTTATGTTCTAGCTAGTTTTCCATAAACTTAAACTAATGTTAAGTTGTTGGTATCATATCTTAACATTAGAAAAACTCAGCTGATTCACTGACATATTATAGTTAGTTAGGGAATCAACAAAAGATATATTTTGGCAGTTAGAATGACTTTGACTCTCCATTTTGTAGACCTTTTAAATATCTTTTTGTTGTACTACTAGGCATTTAAAGACTTGTTCTTTAAATGTTTATGTAAGGGAAAACATCTCCATACAGCAACAACAACCTCACAAGTTTATTAGTCACAAAGTGGTAAAAAGAGAGAAAGAGAGAGAGAGAGAGAGAGAGAGAGAGAGAGAGAGAGAGAGAGACCCCATATGCAACATAAAACTAGTACATGCATAGTATTGTCAATTTTTTTGTTCTTACAGTATGTCATTCTGGAAATATAAAGGCTTTATTAATACCCATGTTAATTATCTTATTTTAGTGCATCTTGTATGTTGAAACAACATCAGTCAGGTACAGCATTCTAGAGCAGGGGTCCCCAACCACCAGTCCATGGATCATTTGGTACCGGGCCACAAAGAAAAAAATTTGTGGTAAAAATTATAGTTATTTTTCTTTCATTAGTCTTCCAGATCTTATATTGAAAAACGACTGTTTCCGCCCTCGCCTCACTACTGCACTTGACTCTGGCATGCCATTTCATGCATCAGCGACACAAGCTAACCCTTGAAAAAAAATGAGCCAAAAACAAAATTCAATGGAGAGCTTTTTCGGGAAGGAACAAGCAAACAATGGAACAGTAGAAGGGTCACAGACGGCCAGCAAAAAGAAAGCTGCATTTAAAAGAAAATACCACGATTCCTACCTAAGTTACGGGTTCATTGCAACAGGTGATGCACAAGCTCCACATCCGCTATGCATAATTTGCGGTGACCAACTGGCTAATGAAGCCATGAAACACTCAAAAATGGTCCACCACATTGAGACAAAACACCCTGCGTTAAAAGACAAGCCCTTGGACATTTTTGAAAAAAAAAAACGTGAACATGAGGGACAAAAACATTTATTGAGGGCCACCACTTCAACAAATGTGTCTGTGCTGAAAGCATCATTCTTAGAAGCCCTTTACTACTGGGGAAGAATTGAATCTGCCTGCTACTAAGGACATTTGCAGTGAACTTTTTGGAGAAGCTGCGGTGAAAAAGGTAGCAAATGTCCCCCTTTCAGCTAGCACCATAATAAGAAGAATTGATGAAATAGCAGAGGACGTTGAAGCAAAGTTGTTAGAGAGGATAAATGAGTCACCGTGGTATGCAATTCAGGTGGACAAATCTACTGATGTTGACAGCAAGGCAATATTGCTCATTTTTGTGCAATATATTTTTCAAGAGGATGTGCATGAGGATTTGTTATGTGCACTATTTTTGCCAACCAACACCACAGCTGCAGAACTATTTAAGTCCTTGAATGATTACATATCAGGAAGACTTAATTGGTTGTTTTTGCCTAATATAAAGTGTAATTGTGGCATTCAGATTACATACTATGAACTGAGAAAGGTTTTTGTTATTGGAACCCTTGTGCCTCTACCCGGTCCATGGAAAAATTTTCATGCATGAAACTGGTCCCTGGTACAAAAAAGGTTGGGGACCACTGTTCTAGAGGGTCATGATAAAAACAAAAGGCACCAACACTGCACAATATCTGAAAAAGCCAGAGGCCCTAAAGCACCCATTTCTCCAGTAATTGAAGCAATACAAAGGAGGGATGGGGCCCTATGTTTCAAGATGACAAACATCATGCACTCCAAATACTGTATGTGGCAAACGAGGAGCTGCCATTCACAATTTAGTATTCTGCTTGGACTTATCAAAAGGACTGTAGGTAAACTTGCAGACTCTTGTGAATCTGCCAAAGCATGTGCTTGGTATGATAAACACTTAATAGGCAATGTTTTGTCCATTGTACAGGTTCATTATAGACATTTATGATATGGAGAGGGGAAAAACTCCTGAATAAAATAAAAAAGCAAGCTACTTCTTCATTCCTCTTTATGTAGCAACAGACAGCGCTATTTTAGAGAATGAACTGACCTTTGTTTGCTTTTTATCAATGAAGGGACCAGTAAATGCTGAGAGATCCACAGAATTTGCAAGATGGCGCAAACTGAAATCTCCAGTCTTTTTTTAATTTAGATAAATTTAGATAAAATCCTGTTGAGTGTAACAGTTGGAATCATATTATATTCGCAGGTTAAGCAGGGAAGCAGAGATTAGCTGCTGGGGTGCCCAACCTGGCTAATGTTAACTAGTAGCATAACATGCAGTTAATGTTAAGGTTTAGAGTAGGGCCTGACTTAATCACTGAAATCTGTTTCACCCAAACTGATTACAGTTTGCGGGAGTATGCCCTGGGGGAAAGTTTTCCTGCTCAAAACTTGCTCTTCTACAGCGCTAGAGAAATTGTGATTATCATTTCAGCCTCATTTTAGTTTCTATTTTGTCATTTTGTGTTTCTGATATAATTTGCCTAAAATTCACTAGGAGAAATAGCTGACACATTAGAAAGATACCTAGCTAAACTTGACTCGGTGGCAATATGTCTGCTTCTTTTCTCCTTTTGAGAAGAAAACAAGCAATACTAAAGCAACCATAGATCAATATGTGAATTTATATGTATATACACATATATATTTATTCAGTAGCCTATATTGTGAGCACTGGGTTGGTAGAAAGTTATGACAGAGTTGCTCTATCTTTGGGAGCATCCTTTTAATTTGACAGAGCTACAGGAAGCACCATACACCCAAGAGAATAACATAGTAGTGCAACAAGAGGACAGGAAATGAATTGCAAAAGCAGTTACACTTAGGGTGGCAGGTAAAAACAACTACACAATACTAATCAAGTATGGTTCAGGGTGAAATAATAAACAGGTACACTGCTACAACAAACACAACAAAAAGGAATATAACAAAACCATGTGAACACAAACAATACTACTGGAAGAAATGCAATGCCTATCCACTAGGGCATGCTGGGAAATCAGATAAAGATATTGTTGAGATGAACAAAAAGTCTGGATGAGAATTCAGTGAGTACTTGCAGAGAGCTCTTTATTTGCTCTGAGTTTAGCATAAGATGCATGAGTTAGGCTGGGATGAGAGGAGAGTGAATTCATAGAGAGAGTTCTCTGATCTATCTGCCTGAGATTAAAAAAGTGAAGGACAGGAGCAATAAACCATATTATCATTTTGGTCTCACACAGATCTCACAGTCAGGGAAATAAATGAAACATTTTTAGGTCTCTTTTCTAATTTTCTTTTCCTTTGAGAGGCAGCCTATTCTAACATTATCTTCCCATTTATATATGTCAACATCTGCTTTTATCTGGATTAAACAGTCATAATGTGCAGATAACTTTAGATGTTATGGTCCCAGAGATAAGATGGGGAATGTGGGCCAGTGATTGTTTTTTAAACCATCATAGATACTATTAGTGGATAAGTAATAGCCTATTTATTTGTAAGCAATTTTTTCAGGAATTTTACTGAGAAGTGGGAAGTTTGTTATAGGGTTAGGGTGGACAACCTTTTAACCCTCTGGAAAAAGTGGTCTAGAACAGCATATGGAAGTAGCAGATCATTTGCTGTTTTTCAGATACCAGCAAAACCCTCTAGACACTGCTGGTGCTGAAGGCTCTAGGCTCTAAATGTCATGATTCGCTTCCGTTTGCTTCCTGTCATGCTTTTATTTTGACATTACTTCCTGTTTGGTGTTTTTGTTCCACCACTGTTTTTGTTTTACTTTAATCATCATTCACATTAGTTTCACCTGCTCCTCATTGATCAAACCCGTTTTTCACCCCATTATAAGCAGCCTTCCCCCACCAGTGACCTGCCAGATTGTTCTAGACTCCAGCTCTGACTCTCCAGCATTAATTCTTGCCTGACTTTTTAAGTTTCTGACCCTGGATTGCTGTTTTTGACCACCGTATATTGCCTTCCCCTTCAAACTCAGACTGCTTTTCTGTGTATTGGCTTATCGGACTTCCCTTTCTGCCATCTCGTTTGGATACCTTTGCTGGTTCTGACCCTGAACTGTATTATCGACCTGTAAGTGCATTTCGTGTTTAAACCGTGTCTTGTATTGTTTTTGTTTGTTGTCAGTGCTCTTATTAAAGAGATAGCGTTTCTTTACTTATCCTCATCTGGCTATTTAATTGAGTTCACCCACGACATAATCGGCAGCTTCACACGCCGATCCTGACACTAAACAAAGTTGGGCTGTCTTGGTTGGCAAGCCTATTCAATGCTGCATAGAGGATGGGGACAGTGCCTGTGGACTGGCAGAGTGGGGTTCTTGTTCCCATTTTTTTTAAAAGGGGACCAGAGAGTGTGCTAAATATATTGGGGTATCGCACTACTCAGCCTCCCTGGGAAAGCATATGCCAGGATGCTGGAAAGGAGGCTCTGATTGTGGAACCTCAGATTCAGGAGGAACAATACAGATTCCATCCAGGTCATGGATCAACTCTTTACCCTTGCAAGGGTTAGGTGTTAGGGTTACTGGAGAAAGCCTGGGAGTTTGCCCACCCAGTCTTCATGTGTTTTCTAGACTTGGAGAATGCCTATGACCAGGTACCTTGTGGGATCTTGTCGGGGGTACTTTAGGAGTATGGGGCACTGATGCCGTTGGTAGGAGCCATCCAGTCCTTGTATAACTGGAGTGAGGGTTGTGTCCATATACTACTCAGCAAGAGGTCAAACACATTCCCAGTTGTGATTTTCATGGACAGGATCTCAAGTTGCAGCTGGGGAGAGGAAAGTGTTTGGTTTGGGGACCTCAAAATTGCATCTATGCTACTATATTTGCTGATGTGATTTTGTTGGTTTCATTATACTGTGACATATAGCACCCACTGGGGCAGTTTGCAGCCAAGTGTGACGTGGCAGTGATGAAAGTTAATACCTTCAAGTCTGAGACCATGGTGCTCTCCTGGAAGACAGTGGACTGCTCCATCTGGTTTGGGAGTGAGTTGCTACCCCAAGTGAAGGAGTTTAAGCATCTTGGGGTCTTGTTCATGAGTGAGGGTAAAATTCAAAATGAGATTTACAAGCAGATGGGGGTGGCATCAGCAGTAATGTAGACATTTTACCAAACCATTGTGGTAAAGAATGTGGATGGGCCAAAAGGCAAAGCTCTCAATTTACCAATCAGTCTACACTCCAACCCTCACCTATGGTCATGAGCTGTAGGTAGTGACTGAAAGAATAAGCTCATGAATACAAGTGGCCGAAATGAGTTTCCTTTGTAGGGTGGCCAGACTTAACCTTAAAGATGGGGCGCAGAGTTTGGACATTTGGAAGGAACTCGTAGTAGAACCACTACTCCTTCACATTGAAAGGAGCCAGTTGAGGTGGTTTGGGCATCTTATTAGGATGCCTCCAGGCTGCTTCCCTTTAGAGGTCTTCTGGGCACATCGACTGGTAGGAGACCCAGAGGCAGATCCAGAACATGCTGGAGAGATTATACATCTCATCTGGCCTGGGAACACCCCGGAATCCTGACAGAGGAGCTGGAACACGTCGCTGGGGAGAGGAATGTCTGCACTACAGTGCTGACCCTGCTGCCACCGTGACCTGACATCGAATAGACAATAATGGATGGATAGATACACACACACACACACACACACACACACTCAGCTGTGTTTTCATTCCTTGTGGGGACTTTACATTGACTTACATTCATTGCCTGTAGACCTATCCTAACATTAACCATAACCACTTTATGCCTGACCCTAACATTTGACTTAACCCTCCAGGCTCTTTTCAATGTGAAGTAGTGGTTCTACTCCGAGTTCCATCCAAATGTCCAAACTCCGCGCCCCATCTTTAAGGGGAACCCTCCTGTTATGTTAATTTCTCAGGTGATGCCTGCTCAGCAGTTATGTTCGTGGGTCAATTTGACCCGCAACATAACAGGAGGGTTAACCTCATCATAACCCTAAACCATGTTTTCCATGTGGGGACTAGCTTCTGGTCCCCACAAGGATGGCTGAATCCCCACAGTGTGTGTGTGTTAACAGGTTGATGTAAGTAAAAGAAAGGCACACACACAAATTATTTTACATATGTCAATATTCAGTAAGTTTTTAAGAGTCAGTTGACTATTAAATGTATTTCTAATGAATAATCTTTTATATAATTAAATGATTGATTGAATCTGTGTGCAAAGTACCTGTGGGGAGACCACCTTCTGACCAACTTCAGGTATGGAGGCATGTGATTTCAGTCAGCTACATAGGTGCTGTGTTGGGGAAGTCTGCCATCTTGTCTGCAGCCAGGTACTCTTGTCAATGAAGACCAAGTAAGTGATTTTAGTGGTTGTATCAGACTTTCTGTTAGTTGCTATCAATTTTGTGGCCACTGGCTAGACAGCTAAACTAGAAGAGAGCAGAGTGCTCATTAAGCTGTATTGCCATTCACTGTATTATGAGTTGCTAATGTCTGTAACTGAGTGTGAAAATGTATTTGCAAGAGTTAAGTGATGTTACCCTGTAGTATTGTTTATTACAGATAGGAAGCCATAATGTACATATAACTACTTCATTTTGATTTAGAATGTATTGTAGTAGTTGTAATTTGTAATCTTTAATAGTAATTTATGTTCATGCACATTTCATTCAAATAGTTACCAGTGTATTATCAGAATATTATATATAAGTGGTCTACAGTGATTATGTGATGGCTACTGTTTATGTTAAAGTGACTGAGGAGTAGAACTTTTTACTTATTCCTAAATTCTTTACCCTTTCTCCAGCCACACACATGCTCACCCACCTGGAATGGAGTAAAGGCGCTCTGCAATACTGTGCTGTGCTGTGTATCACATGGAGATAATGTGCTGTATATTATTTGAATGAAGATTAAACTCTCCAGTACCACCATCTTGCCTTAGTATCCTTACCAGTCATTATTGTGTGTGTGTGTGTGTGTGTGTGTGTGTGTGTGTGTGTGTGTGTGTGTTTATAAGCAGTTTGTGTGCTCAGCCCTGATCTTGGCTATATGTGTTTCTGTAGAGGTCTACATGACTTATGCCCAGAACAGAGAACTGCAATCCACACTAGGTTTGGCTATGCAACGACAGACTGCAGTAGAGCGGGTGATTTATTCCACCTGTCAGTAAAGCAGATGCTCCAGTAGGATGCTTCAGTGTTTCTGCTCTAGCAGATGTCTCTGTTCATATATGGTGACTCACAGACTAAAGCCAGAAGGCTCAATGACAGTTATATCCTCCCCAGTCAATACTAACTCCAAACATAGAAGTGATGTAATATGCTTCTACCTAGTTCTTCATATGTGATTGCCTAGGGGTTGCCAATCAAACTGAATTGAATTTTAAAGTTTTTCATTTTTTTTTTTTTTTTTTTATTATCCCAGTACATGAACCTATATGGCTACTACAGATCAGGCTAGCTATGTGCTGACTAACTGGTGTGAAGTGAAAGCAAAATTATTTCAAGATGGTGCCACAGGTGGCAGCCTCAGTTGTGGGTTCTCTAGTGTGTGTCTGTGTGGGTTTGTGATCACCTATGTCAATATCATGCTCTATTTCATTAGTTTGCATGGGAACATCACTGAAAAGCAGTGGGAAGTTTTTGATTAGGTCACTGATGTCTGATTTGGCTGGGTCAGGAAGATGCACCAATTATGCATTCAAATCAGCTAAAATTTTGGAGTTTCAAAGGTGTACAATAGGCAGAACTAACACTTTTTATCTAACTGGTGATCATGAGCACTACATGGTTGTGACAGACACAGAGGCAACAAGGGCAATGGAAACAGCTACAGAAAAAGGACTGACACTCTTTAAAGAGCCCATGCCATGCTTTTCCTTGTTTTGTTGTTTTTTTTTGAATGAATTGAATTCATTTCAATTATCTTAGACGTGACCTAAAGCTCAAAAAATGAGGTGTACGTATGTTCTAGTATTTATATGCAGAAGCAACTCGGTTAATACACGCCTTGATTATGAGGCTTTGTTTTTTTTTAGTGTTTTCTCCACATACTGTATTTTGTCACTACTCTATGAAATTAATTTGCCCGTCCCTGGTTCATTTTTCCTTTTGTTTTGGGAGAGAATGTGATTGCTTTTGCCCTGAAGGGGGTGGGGCCTTGTTGCACCTGTAGAAGCTAATTGGGTAAAATAAATATGCAAAAAATGCATTGCAAAATTATTAATTCTACTTAAATATTAACCATTGAAATCCATCCTCATTCCTTTGTCAATAATGGTTAATTGAAGGGCAACTATTAGGTTGTCTTACCACAGACTGAGCAAACTACACCAGTGAGAACCAACGCACATTTTGGCTGAAAGCCATGAAAAAAGCTGGTAAGTAGATGTTGAGTTAACTAAAACTACTTACTGTTTCCAAGGTCAGGTGTTACATATGATAGTAAAACATTTCTGGCTGCTTATTTTGGTGACCTTATTCATGACCGTAGGTAAGTATTTGAACATAGTTTGCCAGAGCATCACTTTCAGCCTCAGCTCCCATGATACATCAGTCTGATGCAGCGCTCACCTAGTTGTATAATCTGTCAGTCTTACGATTTTGTATAAAATCAATGGCAAATTGACCCAGTGCCAGCAACAAAAAATATACCATAATTTGATGTCATATAGGAACCTGTGTACGACACAGGTCATTGATTTGTTTGCAAAACGCAAGAAAGCACGTCCTGTTTTAAGTGACTAATGTAACAACTACTGTACGTGACAACAGTTCAAGCAAGTACACAGTGACATGAAAAAGCATGATTATGCTATTCTTTTTTTTTTTGTTGTTGTTGTTGTTTTGACTGACCATTCAGCACTTTCTCAGCAAAGGAGTTCATTCAAAAACAAAACCATCTTTTAACAAATCCCCCCAGGATGAGCTGTCTGTATGCCTGGACATCACCTCCTCCCTTTCAATTTTCATGACAGCCCACATTCCTCTTGTGGCAAACTCTAGCCCAAAGAGGAGGGAGACTATCCCAGTGGGGAGACTCAGCTGGTTGTTGCATTTGAAATAACAGATGGTATCATAGTGGAAAGCCATCTATCCTGCACTGCTGGTCAATACATGTAATAATATTGATGACACCTCTGCACTTTCCCCTGACAGATTTCCTTGTGCTAGGAGCTATTTCAGATCAATGGCTCTCCACTATGCTACAGTACTTAATGGTAAAACAGGACTATTACAGTTTTTTGTACCGAAATATACAGTGCCTTAAATAATGACATCTTTTCTGCTTTCCCCCTCAAATTAGAACCCGTTACCCGTAGAACACAGTAAATTCAGTTTTTCAAGCTAAGCATTAAATACATGTAAAATTAGTCAGTCTGTAATTTAACATTATTGGAGTCCACTGAAGAATTTAACAATTGGCTTATGTTGGCACTGACAGGGGTCATTTCTGGTCTCAGTCCATGTGTTGAAGTGTCCCTGTGCAAGACACTGAACCCCTAGTTGCCCCTGGTGGCCAGGCAATGACTGACAATGCCACCATCGGTAAGAAATTTCCCCATGGGCATTAATAAAGTATAATTTAAAGGAATTTTTTTGAAATAAATCATGCATGTGCCTGTAAAATAAAAAATATTGTATTTTATATACATTAGCTGCAAATTAAGTATTCATTATATAATAGAACTTTTGTTTTTTTACAAAAATATCAATGGAATTGCATGTGGTTAGCACTGTTGCCTCACAGCAAGAAGGTTCTGGGTTCGAGCCCCGGCCGACCCCAGTGCCTTTCTGTGTAGAATTTATATGTTCTCACTGTGCCTACGTGGGTTTTCTCCGGGTACTCCGGCTTCCTCCCACAGTCCAAAGACATGTCGCTTAGAGTGATTGGCGACTCTAAATTAGACTTCATCCAGAAGGACAGCCGGCATAAAATGTGTCAAGTTTGATATGCGAATTGTCAGTTAGGTGGTAACTGATGATTCGCTGTGCAGTGAATTAGCCAAAAGTTGAAGTCAATGGCATTGCATTTATTACCATGGAATAAAACAAATACAAATGCATGAAGCCTACTGTAACTTAACATTTTGCTATTTTTAAATTGTAATTCTCCTGTAGATTAAACCAGACCAAAACCATAAGCAAATCATGCATTTAACCAAGCCTTGGTGTCCTGTAAATGAGTGAAACAAAACTAAATTCTGACTTTTTGCTGACTTTTTTTCTAACTTCTGTTACTTGTGAGTTCAGTGACTTTGGTGGATTACTGGGACCAGTAAGAATCATGGTAGTCCATGCATAAAGACACTTTTCAGTGCTGTCCTGCCTTCAGTGCATGATCCAGGACCACAGTTGAGATAAAAGGCAGAAAATAGGGGTGTAAAGATAAACTGAAACAAATTGGAAAATTGATACAAGAGTCAGGTTTACAGCTGCATCGGTTGAAAACCACAGATTAGAGCCAAATACGTCTTTGGCAAGTCTTCCTTTACTTCTCGCTGGGCTCTTGCTCTGTGGCTCTTGTGTGTGTGTGTGTGTGCACATGCATGACACACCATCTCCTGCCAGCATTCAATGGCAAAAAATCTAATGTCAGAATTAATAAAGTATGAAACATGTAGAGCATTGGAAGCCTAACAAACAACTCTAGGATCAACCTTGATGATGAGACAGATGTTTTAAAAGACTTGTTATGCAAAACCTTCATCCTGGACATCTTCCACTCTAAACTGACCCAGCTCACTGTGCCTGCTCACATTTGTCAGTGAATCACTAGCTTTCTGACAGACAGGAAGCAGCAGGTGAGCACCATCACCAAGAAGGCACAGCAGAGGATGTACTTCCTGCGCCAGCTCAGGAAGTTCATCCTATCGCAGGAGCTGCTGATACAGTTCTACAGAGGAATCATCGAGTCTGTTCCCTCATCCATCACTGTCTGGTTTGGCTCAGCAACCACACAGGACTCCAGCAGTCAGGACTGCAGAAAGAATCATTGGTGCAAGCCTGCCCTCCATGGAGGACCTGTACACCTCATGGGTCAAAAGGAGGGTGGGGAGGATCACTGCTGACCCCTCACACCCTGGACACAACCTGTTTGAACTCCTCTCCTCTGGATGGTGTTACAGGTCACTGTGTGCCAGGACAACCAGGCACAGGGACAGTTTCTTCCCCTGAGCTGTCACTCTGATTAACACTTAACCCACAACAGTATAACTGGACAATAACCTTCAGTGCAATACCTTCCCCCAGGGCAATACCTGTACATTGTACAGATTATACAGGTCTCTATTTTTATTTTATCTCACCTCCCAATGAACATTCCTTTGTCTGACTGCATTTGTTTACTGCCTGTTTATACTGTTTATTTTGTTATACTACACAGCCTTATGTGTTATATTGTTTACTTGCCCCTTGCTGTTACCTTGCATGGGGATATGTACATGCACATTGAGTGCCACTGTATCAGAGTCAAATTCCTTGTGTCCAGCACACCTGGCCAATAAAGCTGATTCTGATTCTGAACAGGAGAACAGCAACAGTGGAGCACCAACAGGTAAGATGGCAGTCTTGCATAGAAAATGGGAGACAGTGCAGATAAGTATAATGCGGCTGTCAGGGACCAAGCAGTAAGGCAAAAAGACACAGCTTCCAAAGTTCAAAATAAAGGGTTTTTATTAACCCAAAAGCAAGAAAAATACAAAATTAACATCAAATAAACTGGGCCCTAAAAGAGGTCAACAAAAGGTAAGGAAACTCAAAATACAGCAAACTGAACTGTCTCAACAAAACCCTGCTCTCAACTAAATATTTCCTTTAAATATAAAGACATTAACATAACTTGACAAATAAAGTTCTAACAAACTACCAACAAATGAACAATAAATTTCTCCCAAACTCCCCCCTTTCTTGTATTGGGCACTTGG